CCTTAGGAAAAAAAAAAGTGCTCCGCCCAGCTGTGGCTTTGGGGCTGTTGGGGAACCTCGCGAATCAGCCACAAAACCGACTGAAAGAAACGACACAGGCTTTACCTTTCGTATCCTTACCGCGACCTTGCCTGCGCAGTCCCCTCCAAACCTAATGCCACCCCATAAACCCCTTAAGATTCCTAGAAAGCCCTGTGCCGCCCAGAGAGCACTGGGGCACTGTAGAACCGCCAAGGGTGCAGCACATTTAGACTTCGGAGTCCCGTGTTTCGGGTCTAAGTCTTATGGTCTAGGATCGAGGGCTTGCTTTAGGTTTAGGGTTTAGGGTTTGGGTTTAGTGTTTAAAAATTGTGTAGGGTTCAGGGCTTGCTTGGGCTTCTTCGGTTTAGGGTCGGGCTTCGAAGCGTCAGGGCTCTGGTTTGGCGGTGTTGGCGGTGTAGAGCGGGTTGGCCGCTGCATCCACAGCAAACTCAGGGCACTGTTCAAGTATGTTTGAACGCCAAGTTTTCCAGGCGACTGACTGTTCAGCAACACTTGGCGTTGCATGCATTCTTGACGAGGCCAGCTGGGTGCCACGGCTGGGAAGGAAGGGGCTGCCGCGCTGCTGCAGGCAGGCTTTCTGTTCCCTGTATCAGCTAGCTTTGTTGGTACTCTGACCCTTACAACACGTGGCCTCTAGCAGGCCAAGGTCGTCATGACAACAAAGTGAATTTAGGGTTTGTGGTGTTAGGGGCGAGGGTGACGGCTCAGTCGCACAACATCACAAGGCTTGGCGGGTAGTTTTGTGCGCGGACTCGGAGATTTCGTTTGGAGGTGTGAATTCAGTCTTCGCACCTCAAGATGTCTAAACCCTGAGCGTTACATGGGTTCGGCGCTTCTGGCATGAGGTGATGCTGGTATTTGAGGGCGACATGCGTCAAGGAGCTTAACCGTGTGATAACATCGCATCTACCGGTGGCCCCTGAAAAGATGGCCATGGAAGGCTAGATCGCCAAAAATAAGGCAGACAATGGTAAGAGCAGCGCTTCGGATCAGAGCGCGGGATTCTGTTGTTGAGGACGGAAGCTACGTGAGCTGCCTGTTTGGGTCCACTCGTAAAGCTCGTCATGCCGAGGCTGAAGCCCGACACCCCAAAGAGGTTTCACTGGATCCTCAGCATCGGCGAGTGTCTCTCGTTCTCTTAGCTCTGAATCCTTACATTCGCAGCCCCTACTAGGCTTCAGGGCTTAGAGGGGATCACTACTCAAACCTCCGAAGTGAACACGACCCCCTTAAAGCAGCGCTCAAGACTACGTTAGACCCGCAACTACCATACCCCGAGCACCTGCAAGCCCAAACCCTCAACTGCTGCCTCCAAAGCCCTTAAAGCCCGACAATCTTTAAACCGTGAAAGCCTTGTAACCCCAAATGAGACCCTTAACCGCTAGTAGCCGAAGGCACCCCCAGAAGCCCCGTAACCAGGCCCGGGCGAAGGAGAAGTCCGTCCCCGTCCGCGACCACTGCGCCGGGGCGGCCGACCGGCTCGTGGCATCCTGTGCTCTGGCAGCGGGGCTTTGCGGTTTCAGGTTTAGGGTTTGGGGTTTAAGGTGTTTTTGGGTTTGAGGTTTAAGGTTAAGGGTTTAGGGTGTAGGAGTGTAGAGTTTTGGGGTTTAGGGTGCGGGAGATAGGCTTTGAGGTTTACAGGATTGGGATTTCTGGTGGGAGGTTCTTGCAGGTTTGGAGATGATTTCTTGGATTTCGGATTCAGGTCTTGGGGCCTCTTTTGTGTTCTAGCAATTCGTGTGGCTCAACTTAAAGTTACCGGTGTGTGTTCTTAAGCTTGTTTTTTTGTGGTTTTAGTATGTGTGCGAGGTTTCTGCTGGAGGCGGATTTCTGTAGCAAGCGCCCTAAAAGCCTGGAGTCTAAATGACACCTTAAGCCAGAACAGCCCGGGGATCTGCGATTTTGCATACGATCAAGAACCAAGGAATCAGGCTGTTGGCAGAGGAGCTCCCAGGGTCTAGGGCTTTCGGACTTAGGCTTCGGATTTCAGGGTTTCGGGCTGAAAGTTTTGAAATTGTAGAGTTTTACAAGCAATCGAATTTCAAGATGGGCTTGGGATCAAGGCTCTTGGATGAGGATGCGAGCTTAGTCTTTTAAGCGCATCCTGGCAGGGTTTTTGCCACCCAAACCTCGAACCCAACTCGTTAAGGAGAATCGACTGGTGACCACTTTGATCTCGCTTTTCTGCGACTTTGGCAGTGCCTGCCTCATCGACTGCTTTCACGCCCACGGCTACAAGGTGCCGTACGCCAGCAATGGCCCATTCTGGGCAATGGAAGACGGCAACAGATTCTCTTCGTGCTTTGGCGACGGGACGAACGGCAGGTCTGGAAGAGAAGCGCGACTTTCAGAATGTCACATGACCACTCCTGAGAAGCATCGCTGGAACAGACTGCCTGCCTCTGTGATCAGTGCTGATAGGTTTTGGAGCTTCTAGAGCAGCTCAATCTCATAATTACCTTTACTGGGTGGCAATTTGGGAAACTTTAAAATTTCCCTTATGGTTTCTAGAGAGGTACCTAATCATAAATACTTTTCAGGGCCCCCAAACTACAACCCAGTTTAAAAATTGAGGTTGCAACAGGTCAGCACACAATCACCTCGCTTACAGCTCTTCTTACCAAGTCCGGTGCTCCTTCAAGCAAGTGAGTGCTGTCCCAGTCTTCGTGATGCGGGCAGCCGAGGTCTCAAGACTCTGGATGACAACGTCCATCCGTACGCTCGTGGAAGAGCCAGAGCCCCAGTGGGAGAGCGACCTGGGTATCAAGGGGGAGCTTCGTAGTCTCAGTTTATGGGTCTTAAATTGGCGAGGGCATGCTGCGTCGTCGCGCCCATTTTCCACCAGCAGTGGCACGATGCCCTGTTCGGTCCCAAGTCGGGCGAAAAGTGTTGGAGCATTCTTATTCCCTTGCAAGCAACGGTCCTTTGACCAGCTGGCGAGCTGCTATGGGTGCCTATAAATACGTGTATCGGCTACGCTGCATTGTCGCGCCCATTTTCCACCAGCAGTGGTGCCATGCCCTGTTAGGTCCCAAGTCGGGCGAAAAGTGTTGGAGCACTCTTATTCCCTTGCAAGGAACGGTCCTTTGACCATCTGGCGAGCTGCTATGGGTGCTTAGAAATACGTGCGTTGTCGCGCCCATTTTCCACCAGCAGTGGTACGATGCCTTGTTAGG